AATTTACGCCATTCCCACAAGCCCTGTATGTTTTGAAAATAGCCACAATTTCCTGGGTGTATCAAGAACTACGGGTGCGTTCCTTTGGGGTGATCCGGATTCGGATCAGTGATCCAAGGTCACTCGGATCATGGTGCATCAAAGAAACCGATGAATCCACTCTAGTCACGAATTCATCGATTCCTTTGATGCGCCATGATCCGAGTGATCTTGGATCACTGATCCTGACCCAGATCACCCCTAAGGAACGCACCCTAAGTAGCCAACGATGTACAGCATTTATCAAAACACGTGTCGAGAAATAGCTTAGTAAAAACAACGAAAAAGCTAGATTCAAAACTAGCTGGCCTTAACTCTCAACACGACAAGAGATTACAACAAAGATGAAAAAAATGCATTTTTTGGCCAACCGTCGATCACGTTCTACACCACGATTGGCTAAAATAATATCACATGAAGTCACGCGTACGGACAAAACAAATACCAAGGCGAGAGAGGTGAGTTCAGAATTAGTAGTTCGAAAAGTTCAGACTGTTACTACAATGTGTACCCACCAGAAAAAAACAAAATCTCTAGTATTCTTAGATAGTGTAAGACTGATTGAACAGTAGCCGTATCTTGGCTTACAAAACTCACAGAGGAAGTATCAACAAAGACAAACAAAAAATACCTTGCAGATACACTTTATGCACAAAATACTTCTACTACTGCTCGAGACATATTTGGAATTCAACCAGATAATTTCAGTACTGATCAAATACCTACAGAGATCCATCTAATACCTGCTTAGATGTAAAACTCTAAAAGCCCAGCAACAATCAGAATAATCATGGATGCCTGTAGAGTAGCATGACATTTGGGTTGTGGAATGACAGGCGTCCCGTGAGTGGGGAAACACCAGGGCCGATGGAAAGGTGTTTATTTCCTCTTATCTTACCACGATGATCCGTATCACAAGAAAGAGAATCGAAAACACTAAGAACTGTTAACTCTTGTTGCGTTAACTGGCTACACTTAAGAAAGAAAAACGTACCTTTAGAGATGCACTCTCCTGGATGCTTAAGGGTTACGTCACTGCCTTCGTCACACACCAGCAGCTTCATCATGCACTCAGTCCCGTATGTTTTGCCATCAGTGCCGCACACAGGAGCATATTCTCTTGTACAAATCCTGTTGCACGAGCATTCATTTACACCAGTCTTCTGATTCTTAACACACTTTCCATAACGATGGCACGGTGGATCACATGTTAAACCGTCT